GGATTTCCCCTCTAGCTAGCAGCTATAGCTAATATAGCTAATTTTTTACACGCTAAGTGTAATATAGGCTATATTAGCATAAACTAGCTTAATATATTTATTAAGTGTTACTTAAAGCTTAAAGTAAAGTTTAAGCATAAGTATAACTATAAGAGAGCTTTTTATAAAAATCTTATAGTAATTTAAGGCTAGTTTAACTTTATAAAAAATATTAAAGCTAAGTATAGTATCTAGAATAATAACATGTATAACTTTAATAAGACAGAGTTTATAATAAGCTAGATATCTACTAGAGCAGTTGTTACAGGTTTAGAGAGATAAAGACAGCTAAAAGCAGTCTAGCTAGGTAACTAGGAGTAGATAATAGCTATCTAGGGCATTAATACTAAAAAGTAGGCTATTTTACTTTTTATTATTTTCTAGAGTAGCAACTACCTTTTAAACTAGTATAAAAAAGAAAATCTACTTTAAAATTAAGTTATTATAATCTCTAAGTGTAGCTAGACTACTAATTAGCTTAGTCTAGACTAGTTAAAGCACTTTAATGTGTATATAAAAAAGTGTACTATTAGCAGCTACTATTTACTAGTTATTAACAGCTATAAAAGCTATAACTTACTTTATTTCTAGTAATACTATAAAGATAATAAGATTATTACTATTTACATGCTTTTTTACTTATTACACTTTTAATAGCTACTTAATATAGGTTATTTTACTTCTTTAAAAAAAGTGTATAGGCGCTAAGCTAAAAACCTTATATATAACTAAATTACTTATACTATAAAGATAAAGTTCCTGCTATGCTTTAAAGTAGCTTATTATGCTATAATTACTTTTAGTAATATCTAAAAAGGGTTCTAAGGCGCTAGATTAGTTCCTTTTAACCTATAATAAGTTATAATAGGCCTTAATATAAAGTTACGCACTTTATTACTACTACTACTTATATATAGCAAGCCTTAGCAGTTATAAACCTTAAGTAATACTCTAAAACTTAAGTTATAATTAATGCTTATAAAAATAAAAATTTAGAAGTATATAAATAGTTTACTAACTTCTATAGTTAAAGTGTTTAAAAAGGTCTTAAAAAAGGCAGTAATAATTGCGTATAAGCTAGTGTTAGTATAATAAAAAATTACTAAGCTTTAAGTAGCTAATAAGGCTACTATGTAACATAAATTATATAAAAAAAAGCAGATTAAGGCAGAAAAGACCTTAATAATTTAGAAAAGCCTACGCTTAACAGCTCTAAAGAAGTTTAAAGCGCGCAGTAATAGGAAGAAGGCAAAGAAGCAGGTGTAAGCTAAAGTAGGTAAGCCATTCTAAAGGCGCTGCAGATAGTGCAATTAGACTAGGTATAACACGCAAACGTGTAAGCAAGAAGCAGAAGTAGTATCTAAATAATATTCTAGGCTGTACTGTACTATATAGTGCCAGAGCGGGTTGTTATAGGCTATAATAGAGTTTGTTGGGGTGGGGTCTTGGCAAAAGTGAGCGACTCGGGTGTGTGAGCAACTCGCCCATGAAGTACGTTAATCTATAACAATATTATTTATACTAGAAGACAAAGTTGCTAAGAAACCTATACTATTATTAAGTATTAGATAATACTAATTAGGTTAAGAGCTATTATAGTAACTGTAATAAGTAGCTTAATCTTTAAATTTATAATTAGCGTAAGCAGCTACTTACTTAGATAAAAGTAAAACACACTTTAAAAATAAACTATAGTAAAAATAGCTAGCACACTTTACTATGTAAGTTAGTTATTATATAACATGTAAAATAAAAAGTATATAGTAAGGTTCTATGTTAATAGTACTATAAGTCTAAATTAACACTGCATTAATATATAATAAGTAGTAAGTATTTAATTAAAAGGCATAAAAAGTGCTGCTGTAGTATTTAACATTATTATAGGGTGCAGAGAGAACCTGTTTCTACTAGATCTAAAATTATTAGCTTATTATATAATAAGGGGAGTAACTTACAGTATGCGCTACAACTCCTAGAGCTGCTTATACGTTTAGGTTAGAGGCAGCAAGAAAAACCTAGATGCATCTTTTGCAGCTATTATTGCTATGCTGCTTCTAGCTATTTTTATTATTCTTTTTAGCATTCTAAATTGCAATGTCTATGTTTTTATATAATAAGATAAAAAGAAGATACTTTCTATAATGCTTGTTATATAAAGTAGGGCTTAATATACATTTTTTTCTTTATTATTTAGATTTTAAGCTATTAGCTACTTTTATTATAAATAGAATTCTATTATCTTAAGCTAAATTTTTATTAAATGTTTATTATATAACCTAACGTACTTCATGGGCGAGTTGCTCACACACCCGAGTCGCTCACTTTTGCCAAGACCCCACTAAACCACCCTTCCTACACTAATGCATTCCCCACAACACTACTTAGACGCGCTAAAAGAATGTTAGATACAGCTTGCGCTCTAAGCTTTTAAATAAGACATAAAACTCTTAAAAAAATGTGCTGTAGCTATATACAAAGTCCTATAAAAGACAACAAATAACTACAGCGCTAGACAACCTTTACAAGCTAATTCTACAGCTAAATTACAGAGGCTAGGTAATAAAAAGGAGTAGGTAATTGTTAAGACTATACTTAAGCTATATGCGCGAGAAATTTCCCCTTAGATAGCATTTATAGCTAATATAGCTAATTCTTTGCGCGCTAAGCATAATCTAGGCCATGTTTGCATAAACTGGCCTAGTACGTTTGTAAAGCGTTATTTAGAGCTTAAAGTAACAGTTAAGCGTAAGTACAACTATAAGAGAGCCCTCTACAAGAGTCCTAGAGTAATTTAGAGCAGGTTTAGCCTTGTGGAGAATATTAAAGCTAAGTATAGCATCTAGGATAATAACACGTACAACTTTAGCAAAACAGGGTTTATAATTAGCTAGATATCTCTTAACTATACTTGCGCTTAAAACTTTACTTTAAGCTCTAAATAACGCTTTACAAACGTACTAGGCTAGTTTATGCAAACATAGCCTAGATTACGCTTAGCGCGCAAAGAATTAGCTATATTAGCCATAAATGCTATCTAAGGGGAAATTCCTCGCGCATATAGCTTAAGTATAGTCTTAATAATCACCTGCTCCTTTTTATTGCCTAGCCTTTATAATTTAGCTGTAGAATTAGCTTATAAAGGTTGTCTAGCGCTATAGTTATTTATTGTCTTTTACAGGACTTTGCATATAGCTACAGCACATTTCTTTAAGAGTTTTATGTTTTATTTAAAAGCTTAGAGCGTAAGCTGTATCTAATATTTTTTTAGCGCGTCTAAGTAGTGTTGTGGGGAATGCATTAGTGTAGGAAGGGTGGTTTAGTGGGGTCTTGGCAAAAGTAAGCAACTCAGGTGTGTGAGTAACTCGCCCATGAAGTACGTTATTAAGAGTATAATAGCACAAAAAATTAAGTAAAAGACTAATTGTTTAAAATAGTTGCCTATTTAGCCTTAGCGCTGGATTGATTCATGGATCCGATCCAGATCCAGGATAGCGCCACGTGATTCCGGATAATCGATTCGGACCGATTCCCGCCAGCACTGTTGAAGCACGCCGTACTTAAGTCGAAACAACTCAGATACTTACAAGCCTTATATAATTAATTCGGTACCTCTGCTATCCGTTTTACGCAGTCTCTTACCTAGGCTGCAGAAGAGCTCTCTTACGCCCCTAGAATCGCGACACAACCCTCCTAAAAGGGTAATTCGATCCGTGCTACTTACCGTACCTGGGGCTTCATTAAACGTATAGATGGATGGATGGATGGATGGATGTCTTTATTACGCCCGGCTCTAGCCTAGAGGGCACTAGTAGTTTATTACATAAGCAATTTCTTAGTAATAGCATACCTCCTAATAGCTTATACATGTAAAATATCTATCTCTCTATATTTTCCTAGTAAACTCTCTTATACCTCTTATATTTAGTAAGTAGTAAGTATTCTTAAGGCTCTCTTCTTTAAGTGTTTAGTGTCCTTTTATTAGCAAATAAAGCAGAACCTACTAGCATATAAGTGTTAGTATAGTGTAGGATTATTCTTAAAGTTGTAAGATCCTAGAAGTTCTGTAATTATGTGCAGCAGCTGTGCAACAGCAGCAGTAGGCCTTATTTATAATAAGTAACAATAGTGTAGGTTTTAAAAAGGGTTCTAGTTGCTCTAGAACTAAAGTTCTAAGTTATAGATAAAGAGGACAGGCAATAATTAATGTAGCAAGCTATAGTAAAGCAGCGTAGTTTTTAGGCTTAATGTTCTAGCTTTTAAAGTAGGGGCTAGTAGTTTAGATGCTAAGAGTTAGAAAGGGTAATATAAGTGTAAAAAGAATAGTAGCAGTAAGGTGTTTTTACTAGGGCTAGATAGCGTACTAGCAGCCACACTTGCATATAACTGCTAAGAAGGTATGCGTAATAGCAGTAAGTAGAATAGTAATAGGCGTAGTAGTAGTTAGTGTAGTAATAATAAGCGCAGTAATAGTAAGTAAAGTAGTAATAAGTGTGTTAGTAGACATAACTTAGACTGCTAAAATAAAGATAAGTTAAAAAAAAAAGTAGACAGTAGTCTAGCTGTTAGTGTTATTTAAGGGCTTTAAAGAGTAGCAGTAGGGGCAGTGTTAATGTCTTAGTAGCTAAGAAAATCTAGTATTATATCTGCTAATAGACAGTCTTGCTTATAAAACTTAAGTAGATTTTTGTTGCTTAGTTTTACAGCTTTATAGAGTAACATAATCTCTATTTTATAAATTAAGTAGGTACATATATATTCTTAATCCTTATTCTCTTCTGCGTATATAAAGCCGCATGTTGCTAGCTGCGTTAGGGATGCAGCTACGCATTTCTATGTAGATAGGAATGTAGTGTGATGTAACTAAATTATTTAGAAGGATTACAACGCGTTAGATAATAATAGTGAATTAGTTTAGCATAGGTAAGACAGTGACAGTGAAGCAGTTTAGTGTGTATACGTGTTTAATGGCGGCGGCGAGGTAGGTCGGCTCGATGGAGGTGATGCAAGTGACGATAGAGTCTCAAATATATTCGAATTTGCTCCTGCTGCCATTTTGGGCGCTCCCCCGGTTCTCTAGGAGAGAGGGGGGGGGGTTTCTCTCAAAAAAATATCGTATGGATGGTAACGTTCATTAAACGTATGTTGCGGCTCACAAACCGGGTACGTTCGTGCTGAACACGTGACTAGTACGGCTCACTTTGAACGGACAGAAGTACGCCCCGTTGGGAGCCCTGACATATCCTGGGTGATGGAACATGCCCTGCGTGCCGGAAGCCCCACAACGCTGACCCGCAATTTGGTGAATGGGGCGCACAACCTTGATAGGCTATGTGAGAGTACTCGACCGGTCCCAACGTGCTCGAGCAATGTTGCTAGCTGTTACTCAACGCGATGTGTATAGAGGTGCGGGAAATTTTTCTTAGTAGAGTTTTGTCATTTTACCCTTTAATTGTCCGCCGTAAGCAAAGCCGACTTCGCTTCAACCATCAGGCTTGGCACATTAGCGTCACCACTCTGTACACGTGAATTACAACACAAAACGGTACTTCATTATCACAGTCCAAACTCGCAGGGGTGTGGTCGGAGTTGGTCGGCCATTCTCCCTGCTGGTGGTGGCGATATTTAGTGCCGAATCGCTAGGACTACCATTAAGTATTATTTAGAAGCAAGTCTTTTTATACCCCACTGTTCTGCAGTTGCGCTTCCCTAGTATTGCCGTTTCAATTACGGAAAAACTCATTTACGAAAGTCTTCTTTAGCCCTTAACAAATACATTTCTCCGGAGGAGTTCCAGCACATCTCTCAGCATATAGCATACAAGTGGAAGCTATTTAACTGGCGATATTCATCGCCTCCAGCCGCCACTCGTTTAGACATGAAAGCGATGATGCTGTATACGGATGCTGGGGGCCAAGAACCTTTTCTCGCAGCTGGAAGCAGCCCTCCATTAATGATATGGCCTTGCCCTGATAACCTTGGCCCTTCAACGTAAATGCAAGATTGTTCATGCTGGTCAGCGTGTCTGGATGCTCCTCCCCAAGCACCCTCTTGAACGTCTCAATCACTTGCACCTCCAGCTCTTCGGCCTCCTTCCACCGCC